ATAAACTACGACTTGAGGAAGACGCTAACGGGAGCCTCTGACGTTTTCCTAATTGACAAGATCCACAAACTGCAGGCATTTTGTTGGAAGTCACTGGAAGATTAAAACTACAGACTAGACGAAGTAAAAGTTGCTCATGAGGATGATCAAGGCGTTCATGCCATGCTTGGAGTGATGCTCGAGATATGACAAAGGCGCGAGGAGTTGAGGATGAGATAACAGGAAGCCCACCACCATCCAAATGATATAAACCATTATCAATTGACCCGTGGAGTAGTATTTTTCCCTGAGGATCCTTCACAAAACAATATGAGGGTTGAAATTCCATAAAGACATTATTATCTTTAGTAAATTGAGAAACACTCAGTAAACTCTTGGTGATGGAAGGAACATGAAGAATTTTATTAAGATGAAGAGGTCGAGTAGCACAAGAAAGCTTAGAGGATCCGATAGAGAGTTTTTGGCCATTACCTACAGCAAGCTGATCCTCACCATTATAGTCCGTGTGAATACATAGTTGAGACAAGTCTGACGTAACATCATTGGTGGCACCTGAGTCCGCAAACCATGAATATCAATAATAGCCGAAGGAGAAATCATAGAATTAGTCGAGGGAGTGACCATATTGGCTTATGGACGGTTAGAGGATCGGTTTGGTGGGTAGGTATCCATGTTGTTGCAGTTGTAGCCATTACGAGCATGGTGGTTGGGTTTCTCACATATTTGACAGATTATGCAAGGTGATGATCTATTAGAGGAACGAGGGGGGTTGGTATTGGTCGGGCGAGTGGAGGATTTTTGAGAGGTGGTGACAATTTGTTGATTAGGATATCCAGTGATTGGGGAGCGGTTGGAGTATTGACGAGATATGGCATTGACTTGAAGTTGGAGGGATTTGGTTTCCTCAGCCAGTTTCTCCTCTTCTTGGAGAAGTAAACCAAGAAGTGAATCAGTGGTGAGGTTATCAAGGTGAGGGTTAATGGCAGAGCGAAAAGGTCCACAGGAAGAGTCTAGTCCAAACAAAATAGCACTCATAAGTTCTTCGTCTGTTATGGGACGGGCAGCAAGAGCTAGACTATGGGATATAGTTCGTTTCGTGTCAACATAGTCCATAATGGTTGAAGAACCCTTAGTGGTGGTTTGGAGTTAGTGGCGAAGTTGCATGACGCGAGCTCGGGATTGAGATTGATAAAGGTTGGAAAGATATGACCAAGCTTCACGAGTGGTACGAATGTGCATTATGTAAGGTATGATAGAATGACTCATGGTAGTTTTGAGCCAAAGAAGAAGGATTCCTTCTGGTTGTGCAATCTAAGTGTGTGTGTGTGTGTGTATGTGTGTGTGCGCGCGCGTGCGTGCGTGCTGAAGATGTATATGATAGAGTTTGAATACAAATAGAAAAAGAGCTATCCTAATCAATAAAGGATTTTGAGTTTACAGAAAAGACTTATTATAATATCTATAGAGAAATCCTACATTCCAGCCAAGAAGGATTTATTGTCATCTAACATGGGTACATATATGTCTTTAAAATAAACTATTAAATAGTTCAGAAGTATCGTAATAGTAATTTCAGCCAAAATTAGAATATTTTTCGACCCTTTTCCCAAAAAAATATTTAAGAAATAAAATTGGTGTACAACTTTAGATATGGTAGAAGATTAGGTGTTTACAGGAAGTAGGGAAGAAGATTTAGAAAGCAATTAGAGAAGTCGGCATTACTTTTGGCTAAGAAATTTTCTTGCCGGACAAATTGAGGTTAAAATTTCATGACATGGATATTCATCAACATATTTTTGACTTTTACACATTATAAATATATCATAATAAAAATTTATAAGTTAGATTTAATATTTTTTCTTTACTTTGTAATTTATACATAACGCATAGTGTTTTTTTTATGTGATATGGGCTATATTAACAAATATTTTTGTAATGTTAAAATATTTACATTCAAAAATTAGAAATGCTTGTAATTGACAATTAGATGTTTTAAAACACCTAAGCTATAAACTTAATAAATTATGAAATAGGTGATATTCAAAGTTTTGGAACTATTTGAGAAAATATTTAAATTTGTATGCATAAATGAATGAAGATTTCATTCGTTAATCTATTATATCTTAGCTAAAAATTTTAACGTGATCATATCATATTTTCATTTATTTAATTTTCATTTTTTTAATCTTTTTTAATTTTTAAAGTGTCAAATGATATAAATTTTAAGTCAAAATTTTGTTGATATATATTTTCTTCATCATATTGATACATGAATAAAATTGTAATTTATAATATTTTCAATATAGTTTTAAACTTTCAAATCTTAAATTTAAAATATCAGATTAATCTGATCTTATTTAATTTTGAAAAAATAAGCTTAAAGAAAAACAGTATTACTTGAATTAATTTTGGCCATAGGATAACAATTAATGTTTAGTTCCTTTTCTTTTCATTTTTTTATTCTTAACTAAGGAAATATTTGAATTCATATTATCTAATGAAAGAACATATAACAATAAAAAGAGTATTGTTCACTTGACTTTAATTTTAATATAACAAACTTATATATTCCAATATAGATTTCATAAATATTTATAGATCTTCTGTATGCATAAACATGAAAATTTGAGAAAAGACTCAAAATAGTCCTCCATTTTTGAATTAGAATCATAATAATTCTTATCTTTTTAACATGGAGCACTAATACTCCTTCATGTTTCAAACAATTGGTGCATATTTATTGCTCCCCTAAACAACCTTCTGATTTTTTACGACACTTTTCTTTGCACGTGAGAATAGAACTCAAACCTTCGCCGTCTCTGTTCCCCTTCAAATAGCATCAGCACCTATTTATCCACCATACTTTGTTTCTTTTGTCTATTTGCATTAGTGGTGGCAAATGGGATGTTGAGTCAAATGTGGGGGATTGAAAATGGGTAAATATAAAATGGATAATCATTCAAATCGTTTATATTTAATATGGGTAAAAATGAGTTGAATAATAAATGAGTTGAGTAAAATACTAGTTTAACCATATTTCATGAATAAATAGTTCTTTATTTTAGAATTCAATATGGAGAAAATATTTTAGTCTTTTTTTTAAATGAAATATGTTGAAAATGCTTCATTTAATTTTATTTTATTATAAAAGTAAAAAAAACTTTAAAAAAAAATTGGGGTTGAGGGGGGATTCCAGGGTAGGGTGAAAAAAAATTGAAGTTAAAAATATTTTTTAAACAAACTTAATATTTTTAAAGGGTGGGGGTAGGGATAGGGGGTGGGGTGGGTGGGTCCAGGGTAGGGTGAAAGAATAAATATTTGAAGTTGAAATTATTTTTTTTAAAACAAACTTAATTTTTTTTGGGTGGGGGTGGGGGTGATGGAGGGACGATGGTAGGGATGAAAAAAATGAAATTTTGAAGTTGAAAATATTATTTTAAAATAAACTTAAATATTTATTTTTGTGGGGTGGGGGTGAGGGGGCTGGTGTGGGGGTGGGTTAGGGGGAGTCCAGGATAGATGTGAAAAAATGAATTTTGAAGTTCAAAATATTTTCAAAAAATAAACTTTAATTTTTTATGAAAAGGATGGGGTGAAGGTCGAGAGTTGAAATATTAATAGAGACTCATATATGAAGGTTTTGAAAAATGGATTCTAAAACTTGGTAACAGAAGATTTTTTGAAAATTTGGAGAAAACTTGCAATATTCATATTTGATCCGTAGTTTACCCATAATATACTCATATTTTAATGGGTAAAATATGGGTATAGTCTCAAATATTACTTATTTAAAATTACTGTTTCAACCCATATTTAATAAGCTATTTGGACGTGTCAATGAAAAATTGGCTTAAATTGCCAGCACTAATTTGCATAAATAAAACAATCCGAGAAATAATATTCAATATTGTTTCAATGATTTTGAGGTGCCTTTTTTTTATTCATCTCCTTCAATGGAAGTCTCAGGCAGAAGAAAAAAATCTCCTTTTGCAAAGCATTCTTCATTATTATCGATATATGTGGATCTATAGGCAAGGTTTTTGCACACCAAACATTCGACCAAATGTCTCGTTGATCGTTTTAATTATCCCAATTATGATATATACATGCTAAACATCAGTGAGCTCGAAGATAATTATAGGCACGTGATAATCTTGAAGAGAAAAGATCGAGGCAGATTCAAGCTCTACCTAGCGGAAGTTTATCAAATGCAAGTTTTGATAGAGGATCCGAGATAAGAGGCGAAACAAATGAGCCAAAAGTAGTTGAGATCAAATAATTGGAAAACGGGTGTTGCGAAATGCGATCACATGTTGGCATAGCATAGAATAATATATCTTTTCATTTTGCAATGTATTAAATTTTGTTATGGAACAAATATGATGTATGTTTGGTGTCAACTTGTTTGGTCCCTTGAATCTTCATAAAAAATATATTCATATTTTAAATCAGAATTGCATCATATTTAAACTAAAATTGCACCAAAGCAGTAGTAGAAAAGCACCCAAACTGCATTTGAAATTCACCACAACATCACAAAAACAGCACCAGAAATGCACCACATCTGCAACTCCTAATTTTCACTAAACAACACTAGAATTGCACCACAAACAATAGTAGATTCGCACAAAAAACTACACCAGGAAAAAAATTTGAAAAACGATAACAAAATATAGTTTCTACTTGAAAAACAAGAGGTGATCTATTTTTTTTTTTTAAAAAAACTGATCTTTATTTGTGGAAATAAATCTTGGGAGCAATTAATTTTGAAGTCGTATTTGTTGAAATTATTAGCCACAACTCTGAAAATTGATAGCCATTAATGTGAAAGTTGGTAGCCACATTTGTGGAAGTAGATAGTCAAAGTTTGATATAGTTAGGTAGCCAATTTTTGTTGAAATTGGCTACTACATTATGTCATTAATGATGTAAACAAGTGTTAAAAAAAACTCTATAAATAGAGTAGTAATTGAACACTTGAAGACACACCAAAAAAGAGAAGCAATAGGGAGTAAAGAGAGTAATCTACAAACTACTTCTTAGTTTATGAGAAAATAGTGTGCAAGTAATATTATTGTGAGTTGCAAGAAATAAAAGAGTGTTGAGTATTAGTCTTTTGATAGTATCAAGTTTTCATCAATATTATTGTATTACTTATTCGGGTATCATATTTACCCATTTTAATATTTGGCGTCGTTGTCACTTTCTTCCTATTGCTATTTAGTTTGGACATTATCCTGGGTGTGATTGTCATTTTGTCTAACAACGTGGTATCAAAGCCATGACAAATAATTGTCCGTTGTCCTTTCAATACCCCCATCTCACAAGAGAAAATTATGAAAATTAATGTCTACGAATGAAAGCTATTCTTGACCCACAAATGAGGAAACTTTGCCCTCAAATGAAAAGGAGGTCTTGTTAAAGACAAGAAAGAAAAATCAATAGGCCCTCACTCTTATCCATCATTGTTTGGATGATGACATGTTTGAGAAGGTGGCTGATACAACCACCTCAAAAAACGCGTGGGATATTCTACAAAATTCTCTTCAAGGAGTTGATAAAGTAAAGAAGATTAAACTTCAAACTCTAAGGGCTGAGTTTGAAGTTTTAAATGAAAGAATCCGAATCCATTTCGGAGTTTTGTTCAAGATTGATGATTGTTGTAAAACAACTAAGAAGATATGGGGAGGAAGTAGATGATGTGTGTGAGGTAGAAAAGATCCTTCGTTCTTTAACACCAAAATTTGATTATGTGGTGTGTGCTATTGAGGAGTCTAAAGATCTAAACTCTATGAAGGTAGAACATTTGGAAGGTTCTTTACTAGCCCATGAAGAGAAAATGAAAAGGAGAAAAGAAGAGTCACTAGAGCAACTTCTTAAAACTCATGCATCCTTTAAAGGTTTTGAAGGTGAGAAAAGTTACAAAGGAAATGGACAATGGCGAGGCATGGAGGCTGTGGAGGTCGTGGAAGAGGAAGAAATTATACCAATTATTTCAACAGTGAAGATAAAGTTCACTAGTCATTCAGATGTCGTGATCGTGGTCAACGAGGAGACAGAGGACGTGGAGCCTACCAAGGTACAAATGAAATGAGGTATGACAAATCTAAAATTGAGTGTTATAAATGTCATAAAATGGGACATTACTCTTGGAAATGTCGTAGTAATGTTGAAGAGAAAGTAAATCTTGTTGACAACAACAAAAGATGAAGATGACTCAACACTGTTATTAATACTCAAAGAAGAAAATAAAGATGATTGCAGCTCATGGTATCTTGACAATGGAGCAAGCAATCATATGTATGGCTATAAATATAAATTTGTGGAGATAAAAAAGACCGTGAAAGGTAATGTGTCTTTTGGAGATACCTCAAAGATCCAAATTGAAAGGATAGGTATGATTCTGATATCCTGTAATGATGATGGTCATAAATTGATTACTAATTATTATATGCCAAAATTGAAAAGTTTGGGTCAACTTCTTGAAAAAGGATATGATATTCATATGAAAAATATGCATCTTTGACTAAGAGATTCAAGTAACAACTTAATTGCTAAAGTTCATATGGCAAATAATAGATTGTTTCCTTTGAATCTTCAAACTATCGATGCAAGGTGTTTGAAGGCTAATGAGCAAGATGACTCATGGTGTTGGCATATGAGAGTTGGACACTTGAACTTTGAAGCGCTCAAGTCAATTGGAGACAGGAACATGGTTAATGGAATACCGTCAATAAACCATCCAAATCAATTGTGTGAAGCTTGTCTTCTTGAAAAGCATGCAAGGAGGAGTTTTCCAAAGGAGTCTATATCAAGAACAAGTAAGCCACTCCAACTTGTACACACCAATGTGTGTGGTCCGATCGATCCACCTTCTTTTGGTAAAAGAAAATACTTTTTGCTTTTTATTGATGATTTCAGTAGAAAAACTTGGGTATACTTCTTGAAGAAAAAATCTGAAGTTTTTGTTGCCTTTAAAAATTTCAAAGCACTTGTAAAAAAAGAAAGTGGCTATGAAATAAAAGCATTAAGGTCTGATAGAGGTGGCAAATTCACTTCAAAAGAATTTAATGACTTTTGTCAATATCATGAAATTCGTTGCCCTCTAACAGTACATTACTCGCCACAAAAAAATAGAATTGCAGAAAGAAAGAATAGAACAATTCTTAATAGGACTAGATGTATGTTGAAAGAAAAATATTTACCAAAATAATTTTGGGCCGAGACTGTTTCTTGTGCAATTTATTTGAGCAACAGGTCTCCAACAAGAAATGTACGAGAAAACACCTCAAGAGACATGGAGTGGAAGAAATTCAAGTGTTAAGCACTTGAGAATCTTTGGGATCATAGCCTATGCTCATGTTCCACATCAAGGGAGAGCTAAAATTGACGATCGTGTTAGGATCGAATTCACGTACACACACTAGATGAATGAAGAACACAAGAACTTTCAAGAGAAAGAGATGAGAGATCTAGAGAGAGAAAGAGAAAACCCAATATTTCGTGGTAACACCCCGTAAGTAAACTTCCACGGCGGTAAGGTATATTTATATTAATAAATCAGAGTATTTTTTGTTAAAGAGAATAAATAGTACAACCTAAAATTTAGGGTTTAGGGTTAAACCGCGTAAACAGTTACACATTGTATAATCCAATTATGTGTTTGTTGGTTATGAGGAAGTTCAAAAGGCTACACATTGTATAATCCAAACAATAACAAGGTGATGGTGAGTCGTGATGTTGAATTTGATGAAGAAGCATCATGGAACTGGGAGGCTCCGGAAGCAAAAACATATGATTTTCTTCCATACTTCGGAGATGAAGAAGAATAGGAGACCATGGCACAGGATGCAACCCCGCCTCCTTCACCAAGAAATGTTGCATATCCATCTTCTCAAGAGAGTTCAAGTGAAAGATCACATAGGATGAGAGGCATCCAAGAAATCTATGATGACACAAAAGAAATTACTAATTTTGATTTTTGGTGTTGTCTCTTTGTTGATAGTGAACCAATGAATTTTGATGAAGTTGTTACTGACAAAAGGGACAAGCCACGGAGAAGGAGATCCAGTCAATAGAAAAGAACAACACTTGGGAGTTGACAACTTTTCCCAAGGACAATCGAGCAATTAGAGTCTAATGTGTTATTTCTTGGAGTTCAAAGAAACAATCAAGTGTTACTCTCTCGACTTGTGAAGTTGAATATGTGGCAGCGATATTATGTACGTGTCATGCTATTTGGTTGAGAAGATTGTTGAAGTAACTCAATTTTCCATTAATTGAAGCCACAATGATTCCCATAACTTAGAACCAAGGACATCATAAATAAATTTTAAGCCTTAAGTATAGATAAAGCTGATGATTTGGTTCCGCAACGTAATTTCTTGTTTCTTATCACAAACTTCATTCTTATTCTTATAAATGATACTTTCTTGATGTGTTAGTTTGCAAGCAAATATAACCAATCTGCCGATTTCACTTTTACATTTGGTTATCATAGGTCCCAAACTATAATTATTTAATAGGTCCATTCAGTTTTCAACCTAATGAAGAAATAATATAACTCATAACTTCCATCTTGTCAAACAAGATTTTTAATAAATTTAATACCCATATCAATATCCAACAGACGTCGCGTTGCTTTGTCTTCCATGCTGGTGTCAGCATATTAAAAATAAACTTGTTAAAGAAAATAAGATGCCCAAAATATATTTGTGCAGAAACAATTAGGTGATAAAATAATTACAGATGTTGAAAACGTCCTTAAGTGGAGTCATCTTGATTACTGTTCTTTTAAGCTATATATGATTTTTAACTCTAAATGATGATCCAAGAATAAACAAGAAACAAATAATCATGAAAAATGTACAAAAAATGAAATATTTTGTCACTGTACATGTTATGGAAAGTCTCAGATCCAACATTTAGTAGTCAAGACAAATAAGGTGGAGCTAGTGAGGAACAACTCAAATGACATTCTTATTCCGCTAAACGATACTTTCTTACATGTGCTAGTTACTGCCACACAGTGCAAATGTTGCATGCAGAGGGTTAATTAATTTGCTTAGAAGAAATATCCTACATGAATAACAGAATTGTTTTAGCAGATACTACCAAAATTGTGATTATCAGTGTTGGGAAGTAGGAGAACAAATAAAGTAGTTTTGATGATTGATAAAGTGAAGGCATGGTGTTGTATGTGTATAATTATGAGAGATTGCGGCAAAGAAGAAAAAGTATTGAGGCAAAGAAGAAAAAGTGCAAAATTGTAAAGAAATAAAAAAGTAGCAATTCAAGTCAAAGAAGGAAAGAAATAAAAAACTAGCAATTCAAGTCAAAGAAGGAAAGAAATAAAAAAGTAGCAATTTAAGTCGAAGAAGGAAAGAAATAAAGAAATTACAATTCAAGTCAAATAAGGAAAGAAGTAAATATAGACAAGTTCAAGAAGGAAAAGGATTTGTAATTCCTTTCCTTGTAAAAGTTGAAGGCAAATCAAATCTATAAAAGGATCAAGAAGTTGAAGGAAAAATGTATCTTTGCATAAACAAAAATTGAGAGAATTTATCAGCAAAGTCAGAACAATTGCCATTGCATATGCACGAAATATATCATCTTAAGAGCAGTATTTTCTGGAGAAAAAATGCAGGTCTTCATCACAGAAACGCAAGAACCAGGTGCACCTTCATCACAGCAAAATAAGGACCAGGTTCACGAAACCTGTTCTACTCAGAACTATTGGATATTGAAGTTTGATCAATTAAGTCTAGGGTTATTAGTCTTTGTTGATTTGTTCTAGGTTTATTATTAAGTTGTAAATAATTCCTATATTTATAACAAGAAGTGGGTTTGACTTCTTGGGAGTTGAGTCTTGAGAGAATTCTAACAAGAAGTGGGTTTGACTTCTTGGGAGTTGAGTCTTGAGAGCATTGTAAACAAGAAGTGGGTTTGACTTCTTGGGTGGTTAGAGTTAACAAGAGTTGAGAGCTTTTGTAAACAAGAAGCGAGTTTGACTTCTTGTTGAGTGGAGAGTTTTCGATTATAGTTAATCGCAAAGGGGAGAAGTTTAGAGTTAGATTCATTGATTAACTGAGTTGTAAATCTTGAATTAATAGAAAACTTCGGTGTGATTTTTCCCTTCCTTGAGTTAGGAAGGTTTCCACGATAAATCTTTGTTTTATTGTGTCACGACAAAATTACAAGAACCTGGTTCTTGTTCTAGGGGTAAGGTTTCTTCAATCAGAACCAGCACTTTTGCTATACATAAATTTATCATTGAAGAAATTTTCTAGCATGTTCTCTTTCTGAATTATACAGTGGAATTTACTCTTTCTAATATCTAAGTCCTACTACTACTTTACAAAATTTCATGTGCAAAAGAATATGCACTTTGATACAATTCATCGTCTCAAGCGGGATGTGAGATCAACAAACACGCCCTCTTTTCAAGGTATTGTGAGACCACCCATCTGATGATTGAAGCCAAACTCTTCTTCATCTTGAGTTAACAAGTCTTGAGATAATGGTTGGTTCAAGTAAGATATTGGCACAACGAATCTCTTCTTCTGGTTCACTCCTACATAAACTCCCCAATGACATTTAGGAACACCTGTGGAATTTGAAAACCTCCTTAAGATTCTAGTACCTTGAAATTTTTGAACAAAATACTCAAGAAACTGATTTGAAAAATAAAAATAGAGTGAACTTATGAAATTCCAGCTATATATTAATCGACAGAAAGTGTGAATTTATACATGGACATTAAAACTAAATAAGAAAATGTGTCACTAACTACCATAAAAGGGGTCACTAACAGCCATAAATGGGGCCACTAACTTCAAGAAGTTGAGAAACTAAAGTTGACTAAGTCTATCTAAAAAATAGGAAGCATTAAACTGAAATAAGTAAAACAGTAAAAAATAATAATAAGCTGGAAAAATTTCAATTGTCTAAGACTCCTCCTTGATATTTTTGTGGCACAACACCAATTCTTTGCATCAAATCTTCAAACCTTTCCTTTAGCGATGACTTGGTGAAAATGTCAGCTAGTTGGTTCTCAGATGAAGAATGAATAAGCAACACTTCATTAGATTATTGGACTTCCCTAATAAAATGAAACTTGATCTTGATATGCTTAGTTCGACCATGAAACACTAGATTTTTTTAGATTGAAATTGTTGAACTGTTGTCACACATGATCTTGGTAGCTTATGTTTATTCATGGCCTAAGCCCTTCATCATCTTCCTTAGCCAAATAGCTTGATTCACAACTGATGCAACAACTATGTACTCAGCTTCTGCTGTTGATTGAGCTGTAGTTTCTTGTTTTCTAGAGATCCAACTAAAATAACTTGTCCCCAAACAAAAAAGATATCCAGAGGTGCTTCTGGAATCATCAACTCCACCACCCCAATCAGTATTAGAGTACCCGATCAGGTTCATATTTACTTCAACAGATGTTGGGAAAAAAATTCCAAACTTGCTGGTTCCTTTAATATACCTTAACACTCTTTTAGCCGCTGTGAGGTGTGTGTCTCTAGGCGAATGCATGAACCTAGAGATAAAACTAACAACAAATAGAATGTCAGGCCTGCTTGCGGTTAGATATAGAAGACTGCCAATTAAGCTTCCATACATACAATCATCCACTTTTTCGAAATCCTCATCCTTGCCAAGCTTCACACCAGTAGATATTCGAGTACTCACAGGTTTGCAGTCTTGCATTTTGAACTTGTTTAGAATATTCGAAATGTATTTCTGCTGGCATATGAAAATTCCATCACTGGACTACAACACTTCCATGCCAAGAAAGTACTTCATGACTCCAAGATCAGTCATGTCAAAGATTTTCTCCATTTTATCCTTGAACCTTTGGATTAGTTCAATTTTGTTTCCTGTTACAAGCATGTCATCCACATAATTGAGACAATTAAGGACTCACTTGCAGCAGTGACTTTCACATACAAAGTAGCTTCACTTTGACTTCTACTAAAGCCAAGTTGGATGAGATGATTATCCATCCTCTCATACCATGTCCTTGAGGCTTGTTTTAGGCCATACAAGGCCTTCGTTAAGAGATAAACTTGATCCTTTTTTCTGGGAGTTGAGAAACCATCAATTTTCTCTACATAGATATCTTTAGCAAGCAAACTATTCAATAAAGCCGATTTGACATCAAGTTGATGAATCTGTCAGGAACTATGAAATACAAATGCAAGAATAAGCTTGATTGTGTCATACCTTGCTACATGAGCAAATGTTTCTTGGTAAACCACACCATATTGTTGTGCGTATCCCTTTGTTAGGATTGAATTCACGCACACATACTAGATGAATGAAGAATACAAGAACTCTCAAGAGAAAGAGATGAGAGACCTAGAGAGAGAAAGAGAAAACTCAATATTTCGTGGTAACACCCCGTGAGTAAACTTTCACGGCGGTAAGGTATATTTATATTAATAAATCAGAGTATTTTTTGTTACAGAGAATAAATAGAGAATAAATAGGAAAGCCTAAAATTTAGGGTTTAGGGTTAAACCGCGTAAACAGTTACACATTGTATAATCCAATTATGTGTTTGTTTGCTATGACGCAAGTTCAAAAGGCTACACATTGTATAATCCAAACAATAACAAGGTGATGGTGAGTCGTGATGTTGAATTTGATGAAAAAGCATCATGGAACTGGGAGGCTCTGGAAGAAAAAACATATGATTTTCTTCAATACTTCGGAGATGAAGAATAACAGGAGACCTTGGCACAGGATGCAACCCCGCCTCCTCCACCAGCAAATGTTGCATCTCCATCTTCTCAAGAGAGTTCAAGTGAAAGATCACATAGGATGAGGAGCATCCAAGAACTCTATGATGACACAAAAGAAATTACTAATTTTGATATTTGATGTTGTCTCTTTGTTGATAGTGAACGAATGAATTTTGATGAAGTTGTTACTGACAAAAGGTGGAGACAAGCCATGGAGGAGGAGATCCAGTCTATAGAAAAGAACAACACTTGGGAGTTGACAACTTTTCCCAAGGACAATCGAGCAATTAGAGTCTAATATGTTATTTCTTGGAGTTCAAAGAAACAATCAAGTGTTACTCTCTCGACTTGTGAAGTTGAATATGTGGCAGCGATATCATGTACGTGTCATGTTATTTGGTTCAGAAGATTGTTGAAGTAACTCATTTTTCCATTAATTGAAGCCACAATGATTTGTGTTGATAACTAATCTGCACAAGCACCAGCAAAGAATTCGGTGTATGATGATCAAAGCAAGTACATAGACACAATGTATTACTTTATTCGAGAATGCATTGCCAAGAAAGAGGTAGAGAGAGCTCAAGTATGTGAAATCTCATGATCAAGTTGCGGATATCTTTACAAAGCCTCTCAAGTTTGAAGATTTTTAGAGATTGAGATTAAGCCTTAGAGTAAAGAAAAAAAT